AGTGAACATCAATGGCTCCAACAACTCCATGAAAGCCCACAATCCTCATAAAAGTGGCTTGTTTTTGCAATATGGTTTGGTGGTCAGTTGGAAAGTCAATAAACTGCCACATAGTAGTGGCCAAAAGTGATGTCCGGCCTGAGAAATTGGACATCTTCACCCTTAATTAAAAAACAAAAATGTGCAAGATTTTGTAAGCATATTGCATAGTTGCTTAGAGTCAGTTATTTTATTTGTGATAATAATGCAATGAAACATGCCAAATAGTGAGGTCATAATGTTTGGCCATGCTGTCATACAAAGAAATTATGAACACATGCAAAAACAAGAGGACCAATGAAATATTAATAACTTATGTTGTAGTCAATGTTGTGATTTTGTCACTAGATTTAGTGACTTCCTCATACCTTTAGAGACAACAAAATCAATTTCTTGGACAAACTGGCCACTGTTGTGTTTGGTGGGGTTAGTGCCACAATATGTAAGACCCTGCTTACAGTGTCATCACCGGTGCATTGCTGCATTTTTACAAATTCCCAGCCAAAAGAATTTTATTACTACTTTCATTTCTGCAGTTAGAGCATTGCCCTGTTGAAGACTTGGGTCTTGACAATCAAGTTTGTATCGTTTTATCAACTCCATAACATATAACTCCAATGTGTCATATCTTCATTGGGAAGTGTTTGTCGTCTCCTCTTTGCTGCCATCTTGTTACTCCTAACTAGGTTAGGAGACCTCTCCAGCTCTCTTAAATAATTTAGGAGCTGAGACCAGTCTTAACCACTTAGGAACCTTTATGAATCACTCTTATTCTTAAGTCTAGGAATAAGAGTAAAATGATGTCATTCTTAGAATTTTGACACACTTAGGACTAAAATTTTACTCTGAGCGGCTTTACACATACGGCCCTGGACTGAGTGAGTCACCTGATAATCCTGGTACAGGCAAGGCAAGCTGTTGGAGTTAGGAACGTTACTGTCTGTGAAAGGAGCCGTAGTGAAGGAATGGCCCTGGCCGGGATAAGCAGAGACATGCAGCGCCGGATGCTGCTGCTGCTGATGGTACAGGTGCCCCGCGGACACCATCATCTGAGGAGTGTTAGCCATGCTGCAGCACAGCGCCGCCGCATCACCTGTTAGCAACGACACAACAGCGTCAGCGGTCAGGCCCCAACATCTCTACATCGGCTGGACTGGTCAGCACAGAGGAAATAAAATATGCAAAAGAATGCAAGCAGGAGGAACTAAAATATCTTAATCTGGAAAAATGTCAAATTAAACGAAAGACATGTGAGTGAGTCCATCGTATTTATTTCTGAACTTTTATTGTGCTACAAACAGAATGTATTGAGACCCGCTCCGTCCAGACAGTTAAAGATAGAATTGATCTGGTTGTTGAAAACATTTGTTTTAGAGAGCATGACTACTATTCTTTATATTTGAATGGCAGCCCTAGTTAAAAAAAGCGCAAAAAACTACAACCACACGATGTAAAACAATATTATAGTTTAAGCATAAGACTAGTGTGAATGAATCGATTACTAACTTTAATTGTCAAAATTTACCCGTCATGCCAGTAAAGCCACTAAAACTAAAATGCAGCCTCACGTAAGCGACTCATACATTGCAGATATTTCATCCTTTCCTGGAGGCTCCTGAAGTGTGAAACAGTGGCTCCGTGTCCCTCAGCTCCGGCTCTGATCAAACACACCTGATCACGAACACCACGCTCTCAGGGCCATCAGGTGAGTCTGATCAGACGTCATGGGCCAGAGCGGACGAGTGGATGAAGTCTATAAATATCTGTTTACTGTGAGCGTGTGCCGTTTGTGTGAATGCTAATGCATGATGTGTGGTCAGTGTGCTGCTTTTAAAGGTTTAATCAAGCTTAAACTACACATTACACTGAAATGACACGCATGTGCGACAGCAGCTGTGTCGTGTTGCGTAACGAAAGCTGAGTGTCACAGAACGACGGCCGCTGTGGACAGTGTGTGTGTGATCGACTGCCAGCGGCTGCTGGGGAGGTTGCCATGGAGACAGCAGTGAGATGACTGGTACTGCTTTCCAAGTTAGGATTCACACACACACACACACACACACACACACACACCCACGGTCAGTTGAAGATGTGTACACGGGGTATAATGCAGGTTTTTAACCGTGTTAGTGAAAGAAAACAGAAACAGGCCTCAAGCAGAACATGCTAGTGCTGCTTCTGTGCAGTGTTAGCAAAAAAAAAAGAAGCAATTTACATGCATGCACTGAGGACACAACCTCTTTTTTTCTTTCTTTTCTTTTCTTACAGTAGGGATGGACGATATGGGCTTTAAAATATATCACGATATTTCTGGTATTTATTGCGATAACGATATCAATGACAATCAGGGTTTCTGCAGGATTTTTAAGCTCAAATTTAAGACCTTTTTAAGACCTTTTTAAGACCTGCACAAATAAAAGTAATATCATATGAGCGGGGTAGGGCAATGTCTATAGTACCATATTAAACTGTAAAAAGCATAATTTACAGTTCAGATCCAAGTTTTCACAAAAACAAAAAGTTTTATAAAATGATAAACTTTACATTTCAGCCTTTAAACCATTTTTAAGAAAATGGATGAGTCAAAAGTATAAATTGCTATATTAATTTAAACAATTATTAACAATTTGGTCAATCAATGTTTGGTATAACAAACAGAGGCGTCATGCCCATTCAAACCAAGAGGCATGACTTTTGAGCCAAGTGGATTTTGAATGCAGCTTCCAAAATAAAAACAACAGGCGAATATATATATTTTTTTTATATTTGATACGATCACACCGGTGTGATTAGAACGTACAGTGTGGCACACCAGCAGCTGCTAAATTCAAATTTGCATTCGCTGGCTGGCGCTGAGCCAGAGACAGGCGCGTTTTTACAGCACTGTGCATTATTACCTCTGTTGAGCTTATGAAACCAATCAGAAGCATTCAGATGAGTCATTGCTGAAACACCAGTGTTTTGTTCTGTGTGCGCTCGCTGACTGAATTCTGCTCTCTGGTAAATTCTCTCATCAGAAACAACAAAGTGCAGATGTGTGTACAAATGTAAGTAAGATAATCATGTAAACAGCTTCAGTGATTATAATGGGAGTTTTTGAGATTGCTTGAACTTTGGCTAGACTTAAGTCAATGATAACGAGCTTTGATTATGTAAATGTTCTTTGCTCTCTTTCCATAAAATGTAAGTGTTATAATTAGTAACTTTACATTGTTTTTTTTTTTTTATCAAAGTAACCTTTAATACAAAGTCAGTCATATTAAAAATAGTTTATGATAGTATGACACCCATATCTGGTACTTAAGAAAAAGACAAGATTTATGCATAGTTAATAGATTACATTAATATTAGGCTACTTTGCCCATCACCTGTTATAGATCAACTAACAACATCTATAAAGTTGCAAAATGCATTTACTTACACATATTTGAGAATCAAGATATTTCATGATAGGCCTATAATTAAAGAAATAGTTCACCCAAAAATCATCATGTAAAAGACGCATACGCTTGCTTCCACTTCATGTAAACAACGCATGCACATGGTGCTGCTGCTAACGTCGAACACACACATGCGTTGTTTACATGAAGCAGAATTAAGCCCATGCGTCATGATACTGTCTCCACAATGGCGGCGCGCATACGGGATGAGGAGGAGAAGAATTACTGAATAAAGTTGTTATTGTTGTTTTCTTTGCACACAAAAAGTATTCTTGTAGCTTCGTAAAATTAGGGTTGAACCACTGATGTCACATGGACTGTTTTACCAATGTCCTTGCTATGTTTCAGAGCCTTGATCATGGTAGGATCCTTGCTGTCTATGGGCGGGTCAAAGAGCTCTCGGATTTCATAAAAAATATTTTAATTTGTGTTCCGAAGATGAACGAAGGTCTTACGGGTTTGGAATGACATGAGGGCAAGTATTATCAAATTTTTGGGTGAACTATCCCTTTAACACATTTGGGAATATTTCGAATAAAAAAGGAAATTTAAATAAATAATAATCCCACTGCTGTGTGTCACATGACAAGCATGACGACCCAAACTCCCCCACCCCCACTCTCTCAAAAATAATAAGTGCATGACGCCTCTGCAAACATCAGCACGAGCTGGAGACTCTCCTCACCTGCGTCGGTCGTGGCGTCAGCGCCGCCGGGCAGCATGCAGTTGACGTTCGGCAGGACACGCGGCTGAAAGTGAGCGTTTGCGTGTCCCATCACGTGGTTTCCGAGAGGAACTTGTCCGCTTTGGTTCATGGGCCCGCAGTTTCTCATCGCCGTGGCCTGCATCTGGTTGATCCCGGCGGGATACTGCGCCGCAGACTCCACTCCGGGGCCGTGCAGCCGCTGCTGGACCTGCGCGATCGGAACCTCGCACAAGCTTCGGCCCCGGGGCCCGTGCGAGCTGTGGTTGCTCAGAGACTGCAGCAGCTGAGCCATCGACGTGTTGGAGGGCAGCCGGGTGGTTTTTCTCATCTGCTCAGTCGAGGGGCAGGGCGTCCTCATGAAGAAAGCGCTGTCGTGGTTAGCGTTGGGAGGAAGCTTGCGCTTGTGGAGAGGGTCGCGCTGCTGCGCCATCAGCTTGTCCCGAAGCGCGGCGCGTCCGCTCTGGCCCTCGCCGCCGGCCACGATCATGCCAGGGTTGGGTGGCAGCATGGGATTTAGAGCATTGTGGCCTTCGACGGCCCTGCCGGCATCAGACGGCCCCACGCTCGCCCCGCCACTTCCCAGCTTGTTTTGATTTGCTAGCTGTGCTTTGGCGGCCGCTGAGAGGAGGCTGCTGGCGGGGAAAGAGGCAGCGTTGTGTTGGTTAAGGATCTGGTTCAGTGGCATTCCCAAGAGGCCCGGGTGCTCCTTCTGTGGGGCGGCACCCGGGGCCGGCAGATACATGGGGTTGTGCTGAGCGCTCTTCCCGGCCAGCAGCTGGCTGGGCACGTCTTTGTACTGGTGGAGAGACAGGCGACGGGGAGATGGAGGCGGTATGCTGAGTCCTCTGCATGTGACCCACCGGCCCCGGCTTCACCGAGGGCAGAGGCAGGTTACTCGGCAGCGGGACGATGGCGGGGGGGATGTTTACATTCATCATTGGTACCTGAGAGTGGACGCTGGGCTGGAAAGCGGAAGGGTTGGGTTTACTGGGAATCGGATCCAGGATGCCAAGAGGGTCCTTCTCGAAGCTCAGCTGCTTGCTCTGCAGGGCGCAGGCGGGAGCAGACAGGGCCTTGTGATGAAACACAGTCCTGCTGGAGTCCATGCCCGGCGGGTAGCTGCACAGGGGCTTCTTCATGATGGGGCTCTTGTTGGGGACCGAAGGGGAGAGAGGCATGTTTGTCCTTCCAGCCATGATGCAGGACGACTGGGAGGCGGGCGAGCCGTGCATCATGACTCCAGGAGAAGACAGAGGGATGCGGCGGCTGCTGCTGTGCATGGCCCCGGGACTGCCGGTCCCCTGGAAGCCACATGGTGTGTTGCGCACAAACCTGTCGGGGCTGCTGAGAGCGTCCGTTCGCGGGGACAGAGAGCCGTCGCCGAAGGCTTGCGAGGGAGGGCTCAGCATGCCTCCGTGCCCGCCGCTGGGCAGCCTCTGCCTAGAGAATGCAGGGAAAACCTCCTGCTGCTGCGGGCCGCACGGATCCGGAGAGAAGTGCCGCTGCCCCGCCGCCATCATCGCCTTGAACGGGTTCTTACATTCGGGCTGGCCCTCGTGGGTTTTACTCCTTATTGCTCGAGGCTGTGCGTTAGGGGTCACGGAGGTCACACCTACAGGAAGAGAGAGAGCCGCTGTCAATCATTTCCATTGCTCATTCAGTGATGGCTTTCCTAACGAGGGTATATGAGCCCCTGAGGGTTCATGCTAAAACTGCCTTGGGTTCCTGAGATCGTCACTGGTTACATTTATTGCCATAGAAAGTGATGCTGTGGCATTTATTATATTTATCAGTAGGTTAGCATTACTTTATCTACATCATAGGAACCCCTGCCGCAATGCACAGTAAAAGTCATCAAATAATGGAAAAATAAACGGGTAAAGATCAGTAGGGATGGGTATCGAATTCAATGTTTTTTAGGCACCAACAGAATTGCCTCAATACAATCGAGGATAAAAAAAGTCTTGTCGTTTGGTACCAAATTTCATTACCAAAGGGGTTAATCTCGTCAATGTCAGTGAGCCAATAAGCACGCAGCATGATGTGCCTAAATCAAGTGCTGGGGTGTATTCCAGAAAGGAGGTTCAACAAACTCTGAGTTAAAACTTGAACTCTGAGTTGACTAATCCAGAGATGGGAAACTCTTGAGTTTTCGGTTTCAGAACAGCTGTTAGTTCAATCCACTCTGAGTTTAGCGTGTGCACCACGACTATGAGAAGCAATGATCAATGGAGCTTCGAGATTCATCGTGACAACAGCACCCGACAAAAAGACGTCCACATACTTGTAGGGTACATGACTTTACAAACATTTTTCAATAAATTTCATTCTGTGTCTATTTCAACGCACAGCAGCTTTTTCCCACATAGTCTAATGCTCTTTTCACATAAATAAATGTTCTCTAATACAACATGCTACATTTCTTAATAAGGGTAATGAAAAACATTTGACTTCTATTCAGAAGCCAACAGCAAGAAGGCAGAGACTCGTAAAACGGGGAGAGGACCTGCACCAGCGCCACTGACAGATGAAGAGGAGATGGCCACAATACCAATATTAAAACCCAACAGGACAAAGAATAACTGTTGCTTCTGCATTTGTAAGAAAATAAAGATGACCAAATACATTTGTGTTTATGATAGGATTATGCGTGTCATCAATGCATCCAACCACACTGGAAATTTTTATTTATTTTAGAATTATTATTAGGTTACTTCCAGAGGTCGCAGCAAGATGTTATCAAGTGAACGTTATTTAAAAATGGTATCGCTCAAATAAATATGCATGTGGATAAGGCAAACATAAATTAATAAAATAAAAATAAAAAGAATAAAACAAATAGATCTACAAGATCCGGTGTAAAAAATGCATGCCATTTTTGTGTATGCATCATGAAAATATGCCCAATGAATGAATGTACCTGCACTGCAAAAAATGCTTTAAATAATTTGTATTTTTGTCATGTTTCCAGCCAAAATACCTAAATATTCTTAAATCAAGATGCATAAGAAAACATAAGAAAAATGACATAAGATATTTAGTCTTCTTTCCTGGGGATAAAAAAGCAAACAAACAAAAATATATATAAGTGATGCGGTGAGAAAAATACTCGTTTACATTTGCATGAAGATTATATTTCTTAAGCCACTGGCAGATCATTTTACAAAAATTTCAGCAATAAAAGCATGTATGCAGAATGAATGAATGAATGAATGAATATTTAAAAATTGCTTGCGCTTTAAAGATGGAGGAGAAACTCTGGGTTTCCCGAAGACAATCTGCTCCAGATCAGGTTAGGTTCACACAGTAAGTTACTACGGAAAGTTACCGAGAGTTACCGTCTTTTATTGGAACCGAAAAGTTTCTTTTTTCTGGGGTTAACAAACTCTGAGGTTCCAACAAATCCCCCTTTCTGGAATACTCCCCTGGTGAAGCATCAAGGAAATACACACTAGTTTACGCCGGTAACGCCCTGAGACTTGGCTCACACTTGAAGCTTTAATCTGTAAGCATCCCAATCCCTATAGATGTTTACACTAGTGTGTTTTCTCTTTAAAACGCAGTTTTAAAATGAAACCGATCCTCGTCCATACTGGCGTTTCCACTGCATTTCAGAAAACTACACGACTGAAAATGCATGTTACATGACCATTCAAGCACACTATAGCATCATGCTAAATAGACAATTTATAAGATTTATACTACACTTTTACTCAAAACTCACTTTAAACCACCATTGAGTGACTGTAATAAATTCCGATAGTAATCGCTACACCTGCTTAGCATTTCTCAGGTAAACACCCTGTATTTTTATGAAAATAGGCAGAATCTCTTGAAAATCACATACAAATCATATACTGTCATAATCGTGTGTTTACTAGCTTCATGTTTCACCCGTAGAAATGTTTTCCTGGGTTGCTTCTGTACAGAACTGAATGCAGAAGTGTAATAGCCATATGAACGTGTAATATGACTGACATAAGAGCAGCGAATGAGCTTCCTTTAAGTCTGAACAGTGACTTGTGAACAACACAAAACCCAGGCAGACAGCGCTGGAAGCAGCTAATGCTCATTAGTAAATCAATGGAAAATGAAAAGAAATAATTCTGAGCTATGCATTTTAAAATGAAAACGCAACTAAACGTAGCCTAAAATATGTGGAAACTGAAAACTATTTGAACTTTATGAAAACTTTCATTCAAACTTTTCAATCAAAGTTATTGTGTTGGTTACAATTTGTTCCTTTGTGCAGTGGCTCAGGAGTCTGAAAAAACGTCAACAAGCTGAAAAAATAAAACCAAAGGTTTTTGAGGAAATGTGTAATGTAATCTAGTTACAGATTTCATAAATTTGGTATTGAAAAAAGTATTGTTCAGGAACCGAACCGTTCAGGTATCGAAGTAAAGATATTGGTACCGATATCGAAAACTTTTGAACGATAGCCAGCCCTAAAGATCAATGATTCTTCACTTCTCCATAAACGTTTGTATTAATTTCACACAAAAGCTCCTCTGTTGTCATACGTGTGCCTCCGCCGGGGCTGGTGAGCGTCAGGGACGGACGCGGCAGCTCCATGCTCTTATGCAGCGTCGCCACTGCAATCAGCTTTCTCTTGTGGATGCAGAGCTTCGTAACATCCTCATCGCTCTTCACATCCTCCGCAGTCCTCTGCTTCACCACCGCACCAGGATCAAAATTGAAAACCTGAGAAAACAGACATTTCAGACCAAGACTTGAGTGTCGGCATGAAGTCAGCTTGGTTTATTTAATGTGAGATTTAGGGGTGAGTAAATCTCAATGACAGCACACTGATTACAGGAAGTTAACCTCGCATCCAAACAGGCCCGTTTCCCTATATAGTATCTAGGGCTGCACGATTAATCGAATGCGATTGTCATGCGCATCTCGTCAGTAAAGCTGGTTCTGTGATCAGTAGTAAATCTCCAGCACCTGCTTTCAGATGGAGCAGCATTTACTACACAGAGCCATAGTTCTCTGACAAGCTATGCAAAAAAAAATTTTTTTTAATTAACCGACAATATAATCGTACGATTATGAAATCGATAAAAATCGTTCGTAATAATGACAGCTGTTTGAGTAGCTTCTCAGTGAACTACGGCTCCGTGTAGTAAATGCTGCTCCATCTGAAAGCAGGTGAAAATACCACATTTAATAACATGTTTTTACTGCAAACTCACTTCATAACGTCAGTCGAGTGTTTGAAATAAATCCTTCTGTGAGATGATGTGGCTTCTTACACAGAATAAGGCACGCAACATATTTCATAGTATTTAAGCAGTGATAAAGGCATTGCATTATTATATACTTTATTATAATGAAAATTATAATAAGAACTCGGATAAACCATATATTGTCGTAGTCGTGCATTTATTAGTCATGCTGAATCAATGAAAGCAGTTAAATCTTCTGTTTATTCAGCTAGTGCTATGGGGATGTCCTGGGTTTCTTCTGCGGGGAGTATTTGGAGTTTCTCTGGCCTTCAGATGGAGGATTTACTGCTGATCACAGAACCGTGCTTCACTGACAATCACAGCTTCTGTCTAATTGCGATCAGACATAAAATAGTTATATATATATACACACTATAATAACTATATAATAGTTATTCAGCCAAGAATAACAACTAAGTTAGCAAAAAAAAAAAAAGGCCCAGAACTGCTTTTCTGACTGATATGACAATGTTAACCATTTGTACATTCTCTAACACATAAGAGATCGCTCGTTTCTCCGTCCTGCTCACGTGTGTTTTTGTTCGGGAGGTTTTGTACTCATTCAGAAGATGTGTAATAGCGCCCCCTAGTGTATAACAGTGAAAACACGAAAAGCCGTAAAAACTCGTCTTTGGCGGGGAAGCGTTGTCTTCTAAAAGACGAGATAACTCGTCTTTGGCGGGGAAAGAGTTAATAAAGAAACTTCATTCTAAAGCTCATTATATTAGCGTTACCCGCGCTTAACTACTCTAATAACAGCGTTCATTTCAATCTGAAATTCAAATTAAAATATTGAGTAATATTCATAACAGAAGCGGTGTTTCCCCCAGACTTGCACTCTATTTGTGGCGACATATATATGCAAATTCATTCTCTGCCAGCAGGAGGCGCTTGTAGAGCAGGAGAGATCAGGTTTCCCCGGTAACGCTGTACACAAAGCAGCGCTCGGCTCACAAACGCTGCTCAGGCATTACAGGCAAGATTAAATGAAAATGACATCCATCATTTTCTGAAGACAGTCAGTGATATATACAGTGATATATAAACACTCGCACCGGGTTTCGACTTTGACACGTGCAGTGCTCATGTTTATTCAACGAAGTCAAAGCCTTTTGGAAAATCTATTTGTGGCGGTATGTTTTGATATTGTGGCGGGTTGCCACAAATAAATCAAAGTATGGGAAATACAAGATCTAAATATTAAAAATTAAAATGAAACTTACCTGATTGAACTCTTTCATTTGATCTGGGTGTCTGTCTTTAAAGTGTTTTGTTAGTTTGGTGTGTTTCCTCGTTTTGATGTCGCCACGTCTCAGTGCTTTTATCAAGAGAACGCATCTGCGCACCTTTCGGATAGCGCATCAAGAACCGGGCTGACCGGGTACTCTGTACCACCAGTACTTAAAAAAATCCTGGTACCGCAACATTTTCGTTTTTTTAGTACCGACTTGGTACCGAAGTACCAGGTCTTTTGACAACACTAAATATAACAATATAATACAATATAGTGTTGTCAAAAGACCTGGTACTTCGGTACCAAGTCGGTACTAAAAAAATGAAAACGTTACGGTACCTGTTTTTTTTTGTTTTTTTTTAACTAACTTAGTTGTTATTCTTGGCTGAATAACTCTAGAAGGTTTTCAAAAGCCCTTTAAAATTAAATATGTACACAGTTTGGATTAAATGAATTTCGGCTTTGGTACCGAGACCCGTGGATTTTCACTGGTATTAGTACCGAATACTGACATTTTGGTACCGTGACAACACTACATTCATGCATTTATCTCCTTTCAGCATTGATTTTTATGCGGTTACGTAACACTGACCAGAGCATGAGCCCAGAGGCTTAGACCTAAAATACTAATTTAATTTACACTGTGCAATTCATGGCATACTATGTTTGGCTCTGAATCATTCATGTTGTGTTCATGTTGTAATTCTGGGACTCCAACACAAAAGAGCTAAGCTGCTCTTAAACGGCAGGTAAAAGCAGAGCTGTGGCTGGTCGCTTTTCATATCCATCAAATCCAGTTCAGCGCGGGGAAGATCCCGAATATCATTAAAGACTTTACCCAAGTATACTTTATCCAAAATATACATTTGTTTCTTGTGTGTCCAAACTGCAGACACATACACTCAAACCAAAAAACATTTCATTACACCAAATACACAAAATAATGTTCTTTTTAGCAACATCATATGACCCCTTTAAACAAGTGACAAAAATGCATCTTGAATTATACAGCACAGTGATTTATCCTGCACATCAGCACTATCATCAATGACAACATGGCTTTTGGAAAGATGTCCAGATTGTGTAAAATGGGCAGCATTACGTCTGAGTACTGACCTTGTGGAGGACGAGAGGACACTCCAGACCACACTTACACGTGCCATCGGTCAGCAGGTACGACTTCAGCTGCTCGAGGCAGGACAGCACTGATCCACTCGGACTAAACACACACACCAAATGATCACAATTACAGTAAAATAATGTTAGACACTTTCTACACATAAATGCTGTGTCTGGAGAACCACATGAAACGCTCCAGACGAGGGCAGCTGGTTTGGGTTGGTAACTTATCAGGAACCGTCGAGCCTCGCTGATGCGAGCGATTCAAAACCATCACACTGAACACCTGATGTTGATCTGGGATGCATTTTTCTCCCTACTTTTTGCAGCGATGTGCATGCAGAACTCTCCTCATTAAACCATCCGTATGTAAACAGTACCAAATCACATCGCGTCTTAGCGTTTTTGTGTCCGCTGCAGTTTCACCGAATCTCATAAATGATGCAGCGAGTGACACGCCACCTAAACTAAACTTAAGCTGAACAATGCCACTGTCGCACTGACGAAGACAAATTTTAATTAGAAATAATGCAAAATAGTGATTCACGGCTGTTAGGAAATGTTTATGGATGGTTAATTTCGGCAGGAATGAATGTGGACCCTGGCGATGCATGTTCAGACAGAGCAGGTCCATACCTGATATACAGGACCCCCGAGACCTCCACCTTGCGCTGCCAGCCGATGGGCACCTGGGCGAGCTGACCTCTGCCCTCAGCACCCTCCCTCTCTTTGCCTCCATTCATTTTTCTGGATCAGTGCAAAACTGCTGGTGAGAGATCACACGCTCTTCTCTGTCCCGACACAATGTCTCATTCTGACGCTCAGAAGAGAGAAGACGAGCACAACAGGACCACAGCGAGACGCTCACAGCGCAGCCCAGAGAAAGGGCCGCATTACTTTGCCACTCGATGCAGACAGGAACTCCGCCGCTAGTGTCTGAGCAATCAAAGCCATGAGAAAAGAGTCTGAAAGCGCTTCTGATCTGGACATAAAAGCACCTCAAATAAACACATGGAAAGAGTTGCAGCTCCCAGCAGGCCGAGGGTCAGGCGTGGCGTGTTCACAGCAGACAGCGCACCTCACGATCTGCAGACGCACTGCTCATCATGGACCGTTCAGATGCAGCTCTCGCAAACTCATGGTTCCTAAAGAGAGAAAGAGAATATTATAATCTGACCACTTCTGGAAATACGGGAGTCGAGATGAGAGCTTTCGTCCACAAACGCCTCTAGTTTCCAGATTCTTTACAGTCGCTCTGACGCAAACTCGCATCATTCACAGCAAACCTTTATTATGCGAAAACTACAGCGCGCCGCTACTCTACATACAATGTAATAAATACATAATGATCTGTAAACGGAAGATTTCACCCAAACGCAGCTGTAAGTCAAACACTGATCACACCTTACAAACCTCAAAATGAAACCGCAAGGAACAAAATGCCCTCTGGTCAAATGTTAAAATTCAAAACTAAATAAATGTTTAAGTCTAATTAGGGCTGCACGCTACATGGTTTCAGCATCGATATCGCGATGTGCGCATCTGCAATAGTCGCATCGCAGGACGTGCGATGTTTAGTATACTGATCGTTATATTTATACGGATCGTTCTCTTTGCTCACACAGAGATGCCGTGTCTACAGCTAAAGTCGTTCTACACTGGACACAACAGAGCTGCAAATCATTTGATCTTTGTGTCAGTGCCTCATAAACAGAACGCATCAGTTTACCGTCGGGGATTTGTCGTGCACCGCATCCAGAGTAGACAGCTTCACTGATTATAATGGGTTCTGTAGTATTCTGTCGTCCGGTGTAGACACGCAGATGCACATGAACACCGAATTCTGTTCATTTCTGCGTCTATTTGTACCTGAAATGACACATACGTGTGAAATTATGGCAAAATGCATGTCTCTGCAAGTATGCTTGTAAACAGTTGCTTATGGCTTAGGTGAAGGAAACCCATAGAGAAAGAAAATGGATGTGTAACACTATATTGGTTCACAGCAGTTTAATATTCCTGTTGCTTTCTGTGTCATGTTAATCAAACAACAAAACACAATCACTTTTGCAGCTTTAACACAGATTTATTAGATTTTATTTATACAGTGAAGACTATGCAGTTATTTTACATTTGATTATTCAATTTCTGTACCTGAATACTGTTAGACTTACCTGACAAATATAAAGCACTGTTTATTTCATTTGTTTCTTTGTTCGATCTATTCTATGCTGTTTACTCATTTACTCACCTACAAAATCACCCCAATCATTGATTATTTTTCTCCAAATAGAGCTATTCAAGTCATCTGGTGATTTTTTTTCATATCGAAATATATATCGCAGAAAAACAAAATATCGCAAATTTTGTGCGTTTTTTCCAATATCGTGTAGCCCTAACTCTAATGTCTAATGAAAAAATCAAATCAGAATGACTTTAGCAGACATGCTAACAATCTCACAGGTCATCTTCAGAGGTCATGCGGCCTAAACCGCCAACCAGACATCATCAAATCATCCGCATAAAGAACATAAAGACACATTTCTCACACTCAGGAGAAGGATCTGCGTCCAGTAAAGACACGAGCAGCTCTGAATAACTCCATTTCAGAACTGATTTCTCATTAAATTAACTGTAAATTAAAGCTAGAAGTTACAATAATCTTCTTCCATGATTGTGTTATTTACTTCAAGAAGTACTTCATGACATAGTGCGGATGTACTTTATCCAGTGAATGACTCGATCAACTAAAGGAGAATCATCAAGCGCTCTTCAGTCAATCACTGTACAGTGACCCGCGTACACTAAACAACACACAGGTGAGCCCTGATTGGTCAGCACTGTGACTGACAGCTGAGATCCACCAATGAAAGATGAAATCAGAACATACAGGTTCTGCACAGCAGGCCTTTATAATGTGAACGCGTCAGCACGGGTTCAAGAAAGATAAAAAAAATCATGGATGAATTTCAGTGATTTTAATAAGAGCTCTTCTATTCTGAAGCACAAACATCAAGAACTCAGACGTGTGTCACGCTGGGCATTCTGGACTGGCTTAGGTGAGCGTATGAGATCTGGACTCACTCCCGAGCGCCAGCAGTGTGAACCGGTGTGAGTCCAGATCACACAATCCTCAGCTGCAGAGACATAGACACGGCCGGACTAAAAGAAGATCACTGTGTCACTGTGCTGCTGACTCACGACAGGACTGAAGGAGCGGCACACACACACACACACACACACACACACACTCTCTCTCACACACGCACGTGC